GGCTCGAGCTCTTGGGCCCACTTGGCAAGTGCCTGGCTCAGGGTCACCGCCAGAGGCAGCAGCTCCCTGCTCCAACCCACCCTCCCCAGCAGAACAGACCTGGGTGGAGGGCCGCCTCTGCTCCTGTGACTGCCCCAGCCACGCCTGCCGACCTTGGACACAGGCCTGCAGCCAGATGGCCTCTCTGCCGGTTGGCTCCCACAGCATCCGGGCCGCTGCTCAGACCTCACGTGTCACATCCGCAAAGCGCTGAACCTGAACCAGCACCCCTGCTTCCCGGGCCCCTCTTTCAGGGCTGACTTTCCCTCACTGCACTTGGCTTCCACATCTATTTGCTGGCTCCTCCAACCTAATCTCGCCTACCCGGGGAGCGGGACCTGGTGTCAAGGCCTCACCCCAGCACCTTGGGGTCCACATTCCTGGCTCTGCCATTGTGTCCGAGGACAGGGCTCACAGTTCTGGGGGCTGCACACTCACAATGTGAGTGTTGGCAGGGCGGGATCCCTCTGAGGCTGGGCTGTGAGTAAGGATCTGCTCCAGGCCTCCCCCATCTCCTGCCCCCCGCCGTCCCCGCTTTGAGCTGTCTGTGGGCGAGCCTCGGTGGTCCATCGCGATTACCCCCAACTCCCATCTCTGCTGCACCTTCATGGAGCATCTTCCCTCGCTGCACATCTGCATCCATATCATCCATATCCTCTTCTTGTGAGGACTCTAGTCCTAGGGGGTTAGGGACCACCCTCGTGACCTCATTGAAATGCCATTAGCTCTGGAAAGAGCCTATGACCAAATGAGGCCACACCTGAGGTCCCCAGAGTTTGGACTTCAACATACCTTTTTGGGAGGACACAATCCAACCCCTGACCGCCACTTGGTAGCTGCATGACATTGGGCAGGTTAAATTTCACCAGCAAAATGATGCCAATAATGGCACTGACCTGGCTGGGAAAGTGACCCTGACACCAGACAGGGTGCATCCCTGCCCCTCGGTGTTTGCCTCCAGACACTGACAGGCAAACAGGGGCCTGGCTCTCGAGGCTACCTTCTGGAGCCAGGTGACAGGGCTGGGCCCCCTATGCCTCTCACCAACTGTGACTGTGCATGCTCCGCTGCATCGGAGGCCAACCTCAGAGCATACTACAATTATGACAGGAAAGCGCGTGTGCAGTCTTCAGCACACAAGATGCCCTCTACCACAGGCAGAGAGCATGGGCAGGCCCGAGGGAGGGCCCATTACCCTCATCTCACTGATGATGTACCAAATTCTTTAAGGGGGATGCCCCTACCCAATGTCTAATCAGAACAGCAAGTGGAGAACAGGAAGCCAAAGGACAGAGAAGTGGAATTACATGGAGTTGGGTAATGACTGTAAGAAAACACTATTTATTTATTTATTAAGAATTTATTTATTTATACACAAACTGGGGTACAGGCCAGATGTGCGGGAGGGTGAGAGGATTCACCAAGAACAGAGTGGGGAACAGAACAGGCAGACTGATGAAATACACTGCTGAGGGGAGCAGTGGGCAAGACAGGAGAGGTCTGCTGCACCATGTGGGTTGCTGCGTGACTGGCTGGGATTGAACGCACACTGCAGAGGCTGTGGACAGCTCACAGTGCTGTGCTCAACTGCCCGCGCCACCAGGGAGGCCTTAAACTTTGATCCAGTGCAACTCACATCCAACAGCCCACAGACTGCACAGCTGCCTAAACAAACACATCCCAGAGTGAACCCCTAGTCTCCCTCTCACCCCACGGGGCCCCCTCCTCTCCAGTTTTTATATATCTGGCTTGGAAGTTTTTATTGAACGAAAGCTTTGCAAATTCTACGTTCCCCTGTCCTGTTCTACAGGTTGTCTTTTCACATAATGCCCTTTGAGATGCAAAAGTTTTAGATTTTGACACAGTCGAAGTTACCTGTTTTGTTGTTGTTGTTGTTATTGTTCCTTTGGTGTTGCTGCTAAGAAGCCAGAGCTAGATCCAGTATTACCAAGATATGGCCCCGTATTTTCCTCTTAGAGTTTTATAGTTTTTACGTGGAACAAAGGTTTAATTGTAAGAGCTTCAAGTGTAAAGAACTTTCACAAATCAAGCACAAAGACAACCTACTTAAGGAATATGGAAACACGGAAACAGAAATTTCTCCAAAGAAGATTATAAAGGTTCAATAAGCATGTGAAAAAATACACAAAATCACTACTCATTAGGGAAATGCAAATCCAAGCCACGAAATACCATTTCACACCCACTAGGAAGGCTGTGATCACAAACCCTGAAAACAGTGCTATTAGCAAGGATGTGAGGAAATCAAAACCTACAGACATTGCTGGTGGGTGCATAAAATAGTGCCATTCTGAAAAAACAGACTGGTGGTTCATCAAAAAAGTTAAACATAGGATTACCACACAACTCAGTGAGTCCACTGCTCGACAGAGACATGAAATAATTCAAGACAAGTCAGCAGCCAAAAAACGTGTGCCCAAGCATTCAATGAGGCACTGTTCATGATGGTCACAAGGCAGAAACCCAAACATCTACCAACAGATACATTTTTAAATGCAACATGGCCTGGCCATACCATGGAATATTAGTCAGCCATGAAAAGGAATGAAGTGCTAATACATGCCTCAACATGGGTGAACCTTAACACGCTAAGACAGACCAATCAGACACAAAAAGCCACACACACCTTGTGATGCCATTTGAAAGAAATGTCCAGACACTGAAAGTAGATTAGTGGTTGCCAGGGGTTGCTGGGGACAGGCAGAAGTGGGAAGCGTTTCCTTTTGGGGCGGTGAAAATGTTCTGGAACTCGACCTTGAAAATGGCTGCACAATATCGTGAATGTACTAAAAACCATTTCACTGTACAACTTAAAATACGTAGTGAAATGGTAAATTTTATGTTATGTAGGTTTTAAGCCAACAACAAAAAGTAATGAATGCATCCCTCTCCCAAAAAGTATGCTGTTTTTAGATTCCAGAAGAGTCAAGTACTAAAATAGAGAAGCATCTAGAAGATTTTGAATTTGCTTAGATCTGTTTCTAGTGTTTCTCCCTTGTCCCTAAAAAGCAACAACCTGCCTTCGTGCAAGGGAGTGAATTCTATCTTTTGCCTGAGAATTGCTGCGCTTGTGCCATACAACTGAAGAGTTCTCAGGCTCCTGTGGGCTGTTTTAACAGAAGATCTCAGAAGTAGGTCATAAAGTTCGCGAGTAGCAAGTGCACCTTGCAGGAGGCCACACTGCTTCCCAGCCATCACCTGTAAAAGGGCCTAGCCTGGCAGGGGAACTGGACTCCCACTGACCCTGCCCCCCACCAGGCACTGCACCCTTGGTCAGCCTGCAGGCCTGGAACTAACTACTCCCCTAGTTCCTTGAGAGAGTAAATGGACAGACTCTTCAGTGGGGTTTGCTTGAGTCCCCCGTGTGCACACCCAAGGGACAGGGGCTCTGCAGGGCAGGGCTGGGCTCAGGGTCAGGCATCCAGCCAGGGGCCCTGGCCAGATAGCAAGTAGCCAGAGCAGCCTCCCCTGACCCATACGGGCGGCCACTGGGCTGCCAGCTCAGCTGGACTGGGATACATCATGTCACCCTCCCCTCGGCAGGAGGGGAAGACACAGTGGTCCTCACCGCAGGACCAAGGACACAGCCTGCCTGTGACCTGTTTCAGTCTTTCTAGAAACGAGACCCCTTTTTTCTCGTCTACACACACACACATTTTCTGGGCAGATTTCAATATTTATCACAGCCTTTATTCTTCTGGAAGTCACCAGTTGGCAGTAAAATGTTAAAAAAAAAAAAAAAAAGTAGACCAAAGAAGAAAAAGCCCTTATAAAAACCCTGAGCAGGACATGAGAAACAATCCATCTGTGAATAACTGATCAGATAGTTTCATATTTTTATCTTGTTTAAGACACAGAGACAAGCCCTAGTTCCGGCTTTACCTATAGCTATCAAAACGTTTATCATCCCTTAACGACGAGCTAATAAAGAAGACACACATTTTCAATACGCGCCAGCTCACACTCAGTACATCTACGCCCAGAGACAAAGCTGTACTTGACGCATCCACACGGGTGGCCCATCACTCTCAGCTCAACACACCAACTGCTGTATTCTCAGTGGAGTGAGAACTTGGGACTCTGACGAAGGTCGCTGGTCGCCAAGGACAGGCTGCTGGTGCATGGTCTGGGAAGAGGGGCCCCTGCCTTAATAAAATGAATGGGGCAGCCCCGTGCTCACTGCCCAGGCAGCGGCTCCGTGTCCTAAGCGGACGAGAGCAGGCCAAGTCCTGGGGTGGGGCCCAGCACGTGGATGGAGAACTGGAAGCAGAAAAGCTTTAGCTGGTGGTCTTTGTTAAGTGCAGTACAGAAATAAAAGCAAATAAAACAGGGGCTTCCCCAGTGTTGCAGGGATTAATCTCAACACTATAAAGCTATCGCCACTCACTGCAGCCTGAGTTGCATCCCCGGCCAGGGAGCTGCCCACATGGCGGAGCAGACCTCTCCCCTCTCCCCGCTGCTTCCCCTCAGCAGGGGATTTCAGTGTATCCACCTGTTCTGCTCCCCACTCTGTCTCTGGTGAATCCTCTCAGCCCCCATACCTCTGGCCTACACCCCAGTTCTTGTATGCATAAATAAATCTTTTAAAAAAGTGAATAAAATAAAAAGGAAATTCTATTGTGTTTAGATCTAAACGCAGACAAAGAGATTGTTCAGCTATTGTACTGTCCGCAGCCATGCTCTAGCTCCACGCACAGAAAGAGGCTGAGTCTGTACACCGGGAAAGGGGTTCTCTCGCCCACATTTCTTTTTTTTTTTTTGGTTTAACCTCTTTTTTTTTTTTTAATAAATTTTATTTTTATATTCCCCATACAATTGCAACCCCCCCACATTTCTAACCGTCATCACCTGCGAGTGGCCTAATAGAAGCCAAGCCTCCTCAGGACAAAGGCAGCTGTGTCCCCGCCCCTGCGCAATCCAAACACTCCCGCGGCGCATACCTTGTTCAGCTTGCCCAGGGAAGATATAAGATCCGCCCATTCACTGGAGGACTCGAAATTTTTTAAAGCCTTTTCAATCCCGGACGAGTAGCTCTTGTATCTGTAGTCACTCAGTAGCTCCTGCTCTTCTGGATCCATCTTACATTCTCAAAGCAGAGAAAGTTATCTAAAAGTGAATCAAAAAATAAACACGTGAGGCAGCCCTCCTAGGAGAGAAAGCTTTCCCAGGCTGGCGCCAGGGAGGACACGCACTCACAAACATGACCGAGTGCAACCTCCCTTGGCGATCCAACTCAAATATTAGCATGACTTCTGGGCCAGGTACTCTGGGAGATAAAAGATAAACAGTTCCGGCTTTCTTGGACGGTGAGGGAGACAAGGGGATGGAGAAGCAGCAACACTGCTGGGTTCCACTGAACTGACAACGCGTACTCTAGGAGGGGTGGAACTAAGCCGCCAACCTTGACAGCTGGTTGATTCCGAAGGCAGGCAGCACTTCCCCTGTAGGCCACTTGCAAACCCCAGGAAAAGCAGGTGTACGCTCTTAACCCACCTACCCAGTGACCCAACCCTCTACCACAAGACTAGGAGAAGGTCGGCAGGAGGGGAGAAAGGTAACAGGAGGCTGTACCTTTCAAGAGATGACAACTTATATCTCCCAAAAATGCAGTGTTGGGGGCCTCCCTGGTGGTGCCAGGGATTAAGCACAGCACTATGAAGCTGTCCGCAGCCACTGCAGTATGAGTTCGATCCCCGGCCAGGGAGCTGACCCACATGGCGCGGCAGACCTCTCCTGTCTCCCTGATGCTCCCCTCAGCAGTGTATATCAGTCAATCCACCTGTTCTGCTCCCCACTGCCTCTGGTGAATCTTCTCACCCCCCCACACCTCTGGCCTGTACCCCAGTTCTCATATGCATAAATAAATAAATCTTAAGGAAAAAAAAGGGCAAATCAGCCGACAGTGGCCCGTGAGTTCTCCAGGCTGCATTTCCATGGACCGGCCACAGCAGGCAGCTTCTGCCTCACTTGCTGATGGCTGTGGGTCGCCCCCATCTCAAGGCCGCTGGTGCTCACTGACCTCTCGGTGGGACATCCCTTCTCACCCGCCAGTCCTTCTCAGCCTCCTCTGGCCATGGCCCACCTGGGTGCCACCCCCCCCCACCCCGCTGCCCTTCCTCCTTAGCAGGCGCATCCTCCTCCCCGGGCCCCGGTGCTGGCATCTAATGTGGGCCCACTCTCCCCTTCACTCTCTCCTTGCAGACCCCGTCCCCAGAGCTTACAGATGCCATCTCATGCCCAGGACCCCCTGAAGCACGACGCCTGCCAAGCCCCCCCACCCCAGGAGGGACTCCTCCCCCCAGATGGGGTGCAGGTGTCGCCCACTTGGTGTTTCCCAAGCTAAACTGCGAAGGGGCCAGGCAGGCAGTGGGGCAGCCCTGGGCAAGGAGGACTCAGCGCCGCTAAGCAAAGCAGACCTGAGTCAAAGAGACACTGAGTCAAGAGCCACATATCATGGGGCTCCATTTATACCAAGGGTTGGAGTTGGCAAATCTACAGAGCACCTGGCCAGGGCGGGGCGCAAGAACGGAGCAAATGCCCGTGGGCACCAACTCTTGCTGGTGCTAAGATTGGATGGAACGTGCTAAGATTGGATGATGGTGATGGCTGCACCCTCCTGCCAAACTCACTCAAAATCAAGTTGTGCCCTTAAATGAAATAAACTGTGTGGTCTGTAAAAGGTACCGATAAACCTGTTTAAAAACAAAACCCTAAACTCTCAATCCCAAAATGCTTGGCCCCTCAGCGAGGGGCCCCACTACCCCCAGAACCTTTGACATCATCCGGGACTCGAGCCTTTTCTCCACCTGCCTTGCCACCCTCCACCTGCTGCCCATCTCCAAGCCCCTCTGGACTCTTGCTCTCCACCGGAGCCTCCTTTCTCCTGCAAGTGGCAATGGCTTCCTAACCATTCTCCTTCCCCCTGCCCCTCTGCATTTTCACACAGCACTCCCAGAATCCTCTGAAAACACAGCATATCCCCCCTGCATTAGCCTTTCCCCTGAAGCTTACAATACGGCCAAACTCGTCCACCCTCCTCCAGGTCCCACCTTCTCTCAAGGCATTCTGGCCTAGAGGGCCTCGTCTGACCACAGCACTTCTGCACACGCTGTGCCTCTCGGCGAAAACACCCTGTCCTCTGCAGATACAGCACACAGCGCGATGGCTTACTCATCCTCGGGAAGGCCCGGCTCTTTCTGAAATAGCTGCCTGTGCACTTGTTGAAAATAGCAGGATGGTAACGAGAGGTGGCAGCTTACTCATTTTGCCAAGTAGACATAAAAGTACACCCAAACTGTCCATCACTATTTTTCTTTCCAGGAACAGTACAAGCCTGAAATCCAAGGTGCCTGACCCACTGCGATTCTCCAGGATTGTCTGTTCGGTGTTAAATGTCTCAGCACTGGGGAGAGACACGAACAGGTCCACTCTCCTCGCTTACAGGTCAAGGAACAGGAAACACCTAAACGCACACTTTCAACTGACCTTGGCATTCGCAGTGACAGAGGGGAGGCTGGAGGAACAGGGGTGCTGGCAAGAGGAAAGGGCAGAGTCGTCCCGGGAGCCCGCAGGTGCGGCAGCTGGCTAGCAGGAAGAGCCTCGGCAGTGATAGGTGTATGTTTAGGAGGTGGGTGGCCAGGAGGGTGTCAGCCAGGTAAGAGCAGGTAACTGGGGCAGTTCAGTTGGTTCTATGAAGAAAGAACTGCTCAGTGTAACTAACAGCACAGGTGAGAAGTTTGGAAATGGTCATTCGATCAAGTTTGTCTATTTCAAAACATGGGACATTAGCAAAAGGGACAGAGCAAGCCTTCCAGTGAGGTTGGTTAGTTCATCATTAACGCACAACACATGAGTCATCTGAGACAGGTATTATCAAGCTTCCAGAAAATGGTCAACCGTAGAATGAGGATTCCAACACAGGCCAGGCAGGTGCTACAGGTAGGATGCACAGTAGCCCCTTAAATACGGCTTTTGGTAATGATCTTGCCGTCTTCCCTGGATCCCTTGGCTGAGAGAGACGAGCAGCTCCAGGGGAGCAGCCAGCCAGCCCACAATCAGACTTAAGGGGTCATCTAGTCAAGGGGCTCCGGCCAGATGTATCCGCCTTCACATAGAAGACCTGAGCAGGAAATCTCCCCTCTCATCCATTCTTAATTTCTTACAAAAACAAGTTCAAGAACAAAAGCAAGTGAACAAGCAACTACCAGGCGGTGCACTGTAGTGATGGCGCCATGTGGACATCTAAGGGGTCAGCGGACAAGACAGAGTGGAGGGCGACCGAGAGCCCCTCCCGGGCCACACGCGCACCCTACGAAGGGCCCTGGCCTGCAGCACAGAGCCCTCTCGCCCACTGGTTTAATCAGCCGCAGCGCAAATTATTTTGAATTCGGTCCTCGGGGTGGCGGTGAGCGTGGAGGGGCGATGCCGGCGTCTGCACGGGCGCGGGCTGCGGCGGGAGGGTCGGGCCCGCACGGCCTGGCCAAAAACCCCACGGAGGTTCCGTCAAGTGCAGCGCGCGGGGACCACCCGAGGGGAGGGCCGGCGCCCCGCAGCCCCTCCTCGGCGAGCACCCCGCGGCCCCGGCGGGCTGGCGGGCGGGGCGCACTGCGGCGGGCGGGGGCGCGCGGCTAGAGGTCCCTCCGCGCGCCTCCCCACGCCGGGCGCCCCGGCAAGCAAGGGCGCGTGACCCGGCTGACCCCCCGCTGACCCCGCCCGCTGACCTCTCCCCCGACCTCCCCGCTGACCCCCGACCTCCCCAGTTGACCCCCGACCTCCCCCGCTGACCCCCGACCGCCCCCGCTGACCTCCGACCTCCCCCGCTGACCCCCGCCCGCTGACCCCCGCCCTCCCCCGCTGACCCCCGCCCGCTGACCCCCGCCCTCCCCCGCTGACCCCCGCCCGCTGACCCCCGACCTCCCCCGCTGACCCCCGCCCGCTGACCCCCGCCCTCCCCCGCTGACCCCCGCCCGCTGACCCCCGACCTCCCCCGCTGACCCCCGCCCGCTGACCCCCGACCTCCCCCGCTGACCGCCCGGGCCCGCGCCGCGGGAGGCCGTGGGTGCGGCGGGCGCGGCGGGCGCGGCGGGCGCGGGGGGGGGGGGACGCGCCCGCGCCAGGGCCGCTCCCCGGGGTGCCGGCCGGCGCCCCCGCCCACGCGCGGGGGAACTCGGGCCCGGCGCGGGATCACCTGCCGCGGGCCCGCCCCGCGCCCGACCCGCCCGGGGCCGCCGCGGCCCGAGGGAGACGCCCGGCCCCGCCCGCAGCCCGGCGGCCGAGGGCGCGGCCCGACTTACCGGCGCGGGCCGCGGCGGCCCGGGGGCGGCGCGGGCGGCGGCGGCGGGAGGAGGAGGAGGAGGGAGGAGGGAGGAGGAAGGAGGAGGGAGGAGGCAGGAGGACGAGGGACGCAGCCGCGCGCCGGGAGCCGGGGCCGCAGAGGAAGCGCCGCGCCCGAGGCCGAGCGGCCGCGCTCCAGGAGGCGGGGCGGGCCCGGGGGCGGGGCCTCGGCCCCTGGGGCGGGGCGGGGCCAGGGGGCGGGGGGCGGGGCCACGCTGCCCTCGGTGTTTGGGGCAGGACGGCGGGCGGTCCTAGGCTAGGGGCGGGGCCTTATCTGGGGGCGGGGCCAAGGGGCGGGGGCGGGGCCACGCTGCCCTCGGTGTTTGGGGCAGGACGGCGGGCAGGCCTAGGCTAGGGGCGGGGCCTAGGCTGGGGCGGGGCCAAGGCCCGGGGGCGGGGCACGCGGGCCCTCGGTCTTTGAGGCAGGACGGCGGGCGGGCCTAGACTAGGGGGCGGGGCCTTGACTGGGGGCGGGGTCAGAGGCGGCATCCAGACCCGCGAGGCGGGGTCGGAGGGCGGGGCCTCCGCGCGCGCGGTTCCCAAACTGGAGTTCCGCAGCTCCCCGGCGGTGGGCCTTGTCCTCCTGGGCAGCAACCAGCTCAGCCCTCGCGGCGGGCCTTGCCCGGGGCCCCTCCGACCGACCTAGCTGGGTGGGTGCCTTGACCAGTGAATCAGCCAAGGACAGGCCCGAGCTAGGCCGGGAGAGCACGTGGACCTGGCTCGCCCGGTCTTCCCGCCGCGACCGCACCCCAGCGGGGGGGGGGGGTGCCGGGAGGAGTCCCGCCCTGCACGCCCCAGCCAGGCGCCCTGCCCGCGTCTCGCCTCTGGGGCCCTCCGGGACCCTCGGCGTCAGAGGAGGTGAGGAAGCTCTTCTAGAAGACTCCCCATGTCAGCGCTGGCGCAGGAGGGAGACCCTCATGTGCTTGCAAGAGCGTTAACTAAATTGTTTCCAGAGAAGCCCTCGCCCCTTCCTGTTATCTCACCAGCCTCCGCACCTGGACAGTCCAGACCCACCCAGCCTGGCCCTGCGGCAGCTGCAGGGCGAGAGCTTCTCAAGGCCAGGAGTCAGGCAAAGTTCACCTGAGCCTCCTAATTGCCCCAGCCGGCCGCGCCCCCAGCCACCTGTCGCGGCAGGTAGTCATTTCTGCCAGTTTAACCCCCTCCTCCCTGGCATGCCGGCTCGAGTCTGGGTGGGGAAAGCTGGGCAGTCCCTGTGAGCCTGGGCGGCGGGAGAGGGGGGTCCCACAACACTCTGAGATTGTAGAGAACATTGTGTGTGTTTCTGAGAAAGGGCATGTGATTTGTATGTAATTCCCGCGGGGATCTGTTGCCTCTCCCAAAACCAGGACTTTTTTTTTTTTTTTGTGAACAACATTCCTTATTTATTTTTTTTTAAATAATAAATTTTATTGTTATATTCCCCATACAATTGCAGCCCCCCCATTCTGACCCCAATCCCTCCCCTCCCGCCCCCGCCCCCCTAAAAATGTCTCTGGTTCATAGTTTTCTGTTGATTTTGATTTTCACTTTCTTATAGTTATTCATTTTCCTGGTCCCTTATTTAAGTTTTCTAGATTCCTGCTATGAGTGAGACCATCCAGTATTTTTCTTTTTCTTTCTGGCTTATTTCGCTGAGCATGATCCCTTCCAGCGCCATCCATGTTGCTGCAAATGGCATGTGTTTATCTTTTTTGAATGCTGAGTAATATTCCATGGTGTATATGGACCACATCTTCTTGATCCAGTCATCTATTTTTGGGCATTTGGGTTGTTTCCAAAGCTTAGCTATTGTAAACAGTGCTGGTATACACATAGGGGTGCAGGTGTTCTTTGGAATTGATGTTTCTGTGTCCTTTGGGTAAACACCTAGGAGTGGAATTGCTGGATCATATGGAAGCTCTATGTTTAGTAGGTCCAGAAATCTCCACACAGCTCTCCACAGTGGTTGGACCAGTTTGCACTCCCACCAACAGTGCAGAAGAGTTCCTTTTTCTCCACACCCTCGCCAACATTTGTTGTTGCTAGTTTTTTTAATATGTGCCATTCTCACTGGTGTAAGATGTATCTCATGGTAGTTTTGATTTGCATTTCCCTGATGACAAGTGATGTTGAACATTTTTTCATATGCCTGTTGGCCATTTGCAATTCCTCTTCAGAGAAGTTTCTTTTTAGCTCTTCTGCCCATTTTTTGACTGGATTATTTTCTTTGTTGTTGTTGAGTCTCATCAGCTCTTTGCAGATTTTTGTGATCAGTCCTTTATCATTAGTGTTGGGTGCAAAAATGTTCTCCCAGTTGGTGGGGTTTCTCTTTGTTTTTGTTATTGTCTCTTTTGCTGTGCAGAAGCTCTTTAATTTGATGTAGTCCCAGCTGTTTATCTTTGCCTTCACTATCACTGCTTTGGGTGATGTGTCTGTAAAGATGTCTTTGATGTGCAAATCACGTAGTGTTTTGCCTATATTTCCTTCTATATATTTTATGGTTTCAGGTCTTATGTCTAGTTCTTTAATCCATTTTGAGTTGATTTTTGTGTATGGTGTGAGGTAGTGGTCAAGCTTCATTCTTTTGCATGTAGCGACCCAGTTTTCCCAGCACCATTTATTGAACAAACTTTCTTTGCTCCAATGCATAGTCTTTGCTCCTTTGTCAAAGATTAGTTGACCATAAATCTGTGGGTTTATTTCTGGATTTTCTATTCGATTCCATTGGTCTGTATGTCTGTTCTTGTTCCAATACCATGCAGTTTTGATGATTATGGCTTTGTAGTATAGTTTGAAGTCTGGGAGTGTGATGCCTCCATTCCCTTCTTTTTTTTTCAGGAGAGCTTTGGCTATTTGGGGTTTTTTGTGATTCCATATGAATTTCATCAATAATTGTTCTATTTCTTTGAAGAATGACATTGAAATTTTGATTGGAATAGCATTGAATCTGTATATTGCTTTTGGAAGGATGGCCATTTTAATAATGTTTATTCTTCCAATCCATGAGCAGGGGATGTCTTTCCATTTCTTTGTGTCTTCTTCTATTTCTTTTAACAGTGTTTTATAGTTTTCTTTGTATAGGTCCTTTACCTCTTTTGTTAGATTTATTCCCAAATATTTGATTTTTTTTGTTTCAATAAAAAAAGGGATGGTTTTTTTGATTTCTTCTTCTTCAGATTTATTGTTTGTGTATAGGAAGGCTACTGACTTTTGCGTGTTGATTTTGTATCCTGCCACTTTACTGAACTGATTGATGAGTTGAATTAGTTTTTCTGTGGAGTTTTTGGGGTTCTCTATGTATAATATCATATCATCTGCAAATAGTGATAGTTTGACTTCTTCTTTTCCTATTTGGATTCCTTGGATGTCTTTCTCTTGTCTTATTGCTCTGGCTAGGACTTCCAGTATTATATTGAAAAGCAGTGGTGAGAGTGGACATCCTTGTCTTGTTCCAGATCTTAATGGAATTGCTTTCAGCTTTTCACCATTGAGAATGATACTGGCTGTTGGCTTGTCATAGATGGCCTTTATGATGTTGAGGTATGTTCCTTGTATCCCAAGAATTTCAAGGGCTTTTATCATGAATGGGTGTTGCACTTTGTCGAAAGCTTTCTCAGCATCTATTGATATTATCATATGGTTTTTATATTTCTTTTTGTTGATGTGTTGGATAACGTTGATTGATTTTCGGATGTTAAACCATCCTTGTGTCCCTGGAATGAATCCTACTTGGTCGTGGTGAATTATCTTATGGATACATTGTTGGATTCTGATAGCTAAAATTTTATTGAGGATTTTTGCATCAGTGTTCATTAGGGAGATTGGCCTATAGTTTTCCTTTTTTGTGTTGTCCTTGTTCAGTTTTGGTATTAGTGTAATGTTGGCTTCATAGAACGTGTTTGGTATTTTCCCTTCCTTCTCAATTTTTTGGAAGAGTTTGTGAAGGATAGGCACTAATTCGTCTCTGAATGTTTGGTAGAATTCATTTGTAAATCCATCAGGTCCTGGGCTTTTGTTTTTGGGGAGGTTTTTGATTACCATTTCAATTTCGCTGCT